CCCCGGTGGTAGAAGCCAAAAACAAAATAAATAATTTTTCCCTATAATGCCATCTTAAAATGACAGAATCTAACCTACTTGAAATATAAGAAAACGTCCTCTAAGGAAAATCCTTTAGATAATAATTTGAAGAGACACTAAAATAAAAATTTTATGTATCATTCAATGAGGGTTTCAAGAAACATTTAATTTAAATTAATCAATAAAAAAAATTTCAATTAAAACTATATGCCATTATGGAAAATGAAAATCTTTATATATTCTCATTAATTTTATAACATAAATCCATTAATATATGTTTTACAAATCTAAGTCCAACTAAATGTAATATTTAGACTTATCATATCATGTATTTTTAATGTTCTTTTTTTATTAAAAGCCTTTCTCTTTTTTTTTTGTAATAATAATATTTAGATTAATATGATATATACAAATATTTTAATTATGATAGTCAATTATATATATAAAACTACACTGACAAAGATACACATTTTATTATTGGAAAACATATATTATTTTCGTTTTTTATGTTCGACAAATTCATATAACTATAAAATTTATCTGATTTATCGCATGCTCTATAATTTACACGAATAATAAAAATTAATTTTATACTTAAAATTTATTGAAATAAAAAAATATTTTCATATGTTTTTATCAATTTTGCTAATAATAATAATATATTAAAGCTAATGACATCAAAATATCCTTGTAAATTTTTAATTTTATTACATTTATCCACAATCCATATCCTTTTTCTAAGTTTATAAACATTAGACACATTTAAATATTAAAACTGATTAAAATTGTATTTAATTATTTATTCCCACGCTTGGCGTGTGTCAAAACCTAGTAATAATTAAAGGCTGAAATCCATCTAATTCCAAGGTGAATGTATATAATATAACCCTTAAATAAGTTTCACATCAAATTTTCTAAAAAATCTAAAGTGTGATATTATTTTGACAAGTTAAACGGGATAAAAAAAAGAAATTTACTAAATTACCACCATTTGAATTTCACTTTTTTCCAATACACCTTCTACTACATGAACAAGTTTCATTAACCTCTAATTTTGGGGAAATTAGAGGTTACCCTCTAATTTTGTTAATTTCAATTTAAATTTCTCTTTAAATAAAGAAAATCTCATTTTAAGTCTGATTTATAAAGAAAATATCTTGATAATGTAAACAAAATATTTAAAAAAATCAGACATCATCGAAAGTATCGATTTTTTTTCCATGTTTACTCAAATATTTACGAAATACGATGTCGTCTTTCAATATCTACGTTGTTATGCTCTGTTCTTTGGCTACTATGTTATTCTGGTATGCGAAAAGTATGTGTGTTCTGTAACAGTAATCAAACCTCAAACACAGTACAGAGAGCACGTTAAAAGCATTAAAATGAAGAAGAAGTATTAAAAAAACGAATTACTTGTCGACATGTTACGTCCAGAGTTCAAATAAAAAAACTAAAACAAATGGAGCAATCTCTATATTGCTGTATCACATCTCGCTCTGTTGTGACATCGACACTTACGCCTCTTAGACCGTTGTGATCCTTGTGTCAATCGTATCTTATCTTCAACTGATTCGTATCTTTGTTTTCCTAAATCTATCATCGCAATAACTAACTTCGTAGAAAAGACATTTGATAATGTGGTAGAACTTTGTGTAAAGCCAAAACTCAAAAAATGCAAAGTATGTCACTATGCGACTTCGAACCCATCAACAAAGGGACTGAGTATCACAGACTCAAACCAGTTACAATAAAGATCATTCATTGTTTATTGTACAAATAAATTGATATTAATAACAATAAAACGTAATCTTTAAAAAATATTTTGTAAATTGTCGATTAAAGAAACTGAATATTGTTGTGAATAGAGAGAAAGAGAATGGAAAAATTCGTATCTTCTTTCATTAATCAAGTATCCTTTAT